CAACCAGCTCACACAGAAACAAATGCACCTGGGAGGACAGGTTCAGAGTCCCGTGCATCTAGCATCCAGCTCAGACAAAAACGCACGTACACAGAAAAGCAGAATCCAGCAGGAGTCCAACCAAGGGTCAGTTGAACAGATCAGAAGGGACAGACAGGGCCAGTGGGTGAGAGGGAACGGAATCAGGAAAACAGAATCACTAGGGAAATGCTGAAAAACTCTCACCACTGGTTAGGAAAATAACTCGCCTTAAAACAAGGGCTCGAGAATAACCTTGTAAATAAATCTAACCAACCAAACCGATAGAAAGGACACAAACAGAAATCAAACTGAGAAAAAACAGCAAGCAAAAAATGATCTGGCCTCGGTAGCTGGGCTGGACCAAATATAAGGCAGAACCTCCAGGTGCGATCAGATGCTTAAAAACTGGGCAGAACTATGCAAGTGACTGAATTGAGCAATTAAAGCCAGCTATCAGAGCAGATCATGACAGTTTCAGTGCTATGATGAGCTCTAACACCTGACTGAAACTCTTCAAATTGTTCATTATAGTGTATGTGGTCACACACCTGTTTAGCAAATATTTTCTGTGGTCTATAACTGACCAAATCATCTGGAAAAATAATACTTCTAAATAAGTTTAAGGATTTTAACAAAGCTTAAAATAACAGAATGATCACTTATTCCATGTTGCAGTCCCGTCAAAATAACAGCACACACAGACTACATTGGTCATACTACAACTCTTAATTTGGGAAAATATACTGAAGTGCAATAAATAAATAACTCATGATTGACCAATAACATAACTATTTCACACTGTAGTGCCACCAAAATGAAAGTGCAAGTTAACCATTTCCTCTTGATTGTACACATTTCTCTTTGAGACAATATGCAAATATTAAATTTTTGGAGATTTCTATTCAATAAATAACTAACAAAATTACAAATTATTACTGTATTACACATTGCAGTGTCACCCAAATCACAGTGCAAATACACCATCTTCTCTTGATTATGCTACAAATCTAACTTAGGGAAAATATGTTGAAATAATATTTGGTAGTACTGGAACATGGCAGGAGGTCTTCCACATCAATGGAACAGTAAAAAACAAAATTACACTAGTAAGATTTATAGTAAGATTTATTCTGATATTTATCAGCTTGGCTGAAAATGTATTTATGATATCTAAAAAACATTTTTTCATAGTTAAAACAATACAACTGCTGGCCAGTAATATTAGGAAAATTGAGATCTGAAATTGATTTATAGACATCCAGAATGTTTATTCTAGATGTGGAGGATGTTATTTTGTTTCAATTGGTCATTTGGACAAAGAAAAAATGTTTTTTAGATATCATAAATACATTTTCAGTCAAGCTGATAAATATCAGAACGGCCACTATAAATCTTACTAGTGTAATTTTGTTTTTTACTGTTCCATTGATGTGGAAGACCTCCTGCCATGTTCCAGTACTACCAAATATTATTTCA